TGTCAATCTGAGAGCGACTACCATCTCCATTCAGTGTTTGGGAGATTATCGTTTCCATCTCACGAAATGACAAGAATGTTTTTGAAGTTTTTGGTTACTATTATACTATACAGACATTCGTAAAACTTTTATGACGATCCTACTGTGGGTAATTCTGGCATGTGTTTGTTCGATGAAATATTTAGAAATCAGGCAGACGATGATTTTTGCTGCTTCGTCGTGGTAGACAAAGCGGACATCGCCAAATTAAAAATCAGTTAGATAGCATGTGGCGTTTAAACGTCGTCTATAAATAAGTTATATTGCCCTGGCTGTCTTTTTTATTATTATAACTCGGCAAGCAGTAGACGGCATCTCTGAGAGAATTCACGAGACTAGTTTCCCTCGTTGCCTAACGCGCACAGGTATTTTCCATTGCGCCGCCAGCGCAATTCACACCGATTGCTAACATTGGTGTTAAATTCTCTTTGAACACTTTATATTTGACTCTTTTCGCACGTGAAATTGTAAATCTTACATATAATATCATTAGAAAGGGCAGCGTACCGAAGCCGACAAAAGTATACTTATTCACAGCCACTGAATCATACCACGTATCGCAACAGCGAGCCTTAGCAACCTAAGTGGATGTGTGCTGCGTGTCAATAACATACTGAGCACGGGTGAGCTGTGAATGCCCGTTGCTGATCAATAGTTCCTATAATGAGACTTGGTAAAAGTCGTCTCCTCCAAAAAAACATGATATGCATTTCTTCTGACTCTTATTTAGTTGTAAGCGTGATATAAATATAATTAACTTATAAAACGTGCGTTGGCCAGTTTTCCGCTTTTGTCGATAACAATTTGTACTGGAATTAGAAAATAATATATAAAAACCAATAGAAAATTGCGATCTAATAAGGACTGAACATTTGACAAGTTATGAATCCAAGAATTTTCAAACGAATACTTCCAAATTTACGTGGCACCAATACAAATTAATAAAGATCGAACATGGTATTTTAACCGTCCTTCAGCTGCGATTTGAGGCGTTTGTAACTTGCGGTATTTCTGTACCACCGCCAATTTCTTATTTCAATCAATTTATATGCCATGCATAGCTAAATATGGACAAAGCCTTGGACAATGAGCATTATTCATACTTACTTAGTCGCGGGAAATAGATTTGTCGCAAAATAACACGGATGTAAAACATAGCTTCATTTGAGGCGACTAGACTAGTTTCGCTGGATAATAAAATAATAATGAAATTAAAAAAACTACATATAAATTCTTGAAAACAATTTATGTATATCGAGTCTTAATTGCCGCTGCATGGAGGATAATCCAAGTTTTAATTGACGCCTCTGCGAATAAACCGTTCAATTTGTATCCGCATACTCGACCGACATCAGTTAATTGCAAGGCCTGGTCGCGTACAATTGACTCGTGACTGCGCTCAATAAACGGATGAATCCCGGCCAAAAAGCTGTACAACGGTCTTTCGAAGCGACTCGTTCAAGCATGATTGTCTGGAGTTAGGATCCTGGATACATACCTCATGCTCGATGTCGCTCAGATTATCAACAGCACATATGCCTTTAGGCTGTTTTTTTATTATCAAATCTTCAATCTTTATTTATCAGATTATGGTGTTTTACTTGGCAAACCGCAAACTTGGACAGGACACTTAGTGTTTAATAATAAATGTCACGAATAAAACGAAATTTTGAATAATCAGGCGATTGGCGATCATAAGGGCGATCTCATTTGAACCAGCTTTGAAAAATCATGGTATGTCAAAAATATACAAATCTATTTGGATAATTACAAGTACATTTGCATTACTTTTTTACACAATTTCACGTTTTTATCTGGGCATCGATAAATTTTATTGGTGAAACATCATAACCCATATTAAGTTTAATGCCCACGTCGAGTGTTGCAGAGCAAACGCTTAAAACGATAACCGGTATTACTTATTATTTTTGTCGGTATGATTTCATAAATGTGACCGAGATAAATAATTTTAAACGCTGTTGGCTGTTCTAAATTTGTAACTGTTGTCGTGATGCCCATGGTTGGGCGGTTTTAAACACTCAATTTATACGACGAGTTGCCGTGGGACTCCTATCTGAGGTGGTTTTGCGTAAGAGCTTTCTGACAGGCCATGTACAGTGTACACAATGAGAAATACCACCGTCCGACAGGGTATAAACTGGTGAATGTAGCAGTCAGATAATACGAGAGCCTCGTCGCGTTGAAAGAGAGCGAGAGCCTCTCTGGCTTCTTGTTAAAAGAAACAAACCGTGCTCTTTAACCGAGAAAAACGTTAATAATAATACAGAGAAACGGGAGGGCTGTCATCCATGGCCATTCTACTGAACAAAGAATAGAAGTGATGGCGTACCTCGTGGTACTTTCAGCGATAAGTTGACCAATACTTTTAACTGCTTTTGCGAAAGGGCGCGCCGTTTGAGAATACAGCGAAAAACGTTTTAACTTTAGGTATGTTTGGAGCGGATTTTGCCTTTTGGTTGCTTGTTTATTGAATTAATACGAGGTTGAAGTGATTTAGATTTAATTATATATTCGAGTATAAACCAAAATAGTATATTTATAATTGGCCAATTTCTTAACTTGCATTTGATCATAGCTTTGTGCATTCTTAGTTTTGTGAGATATGGAATTGGTATAATATTGTTCAGCTTCATTTGTTTGTATATTTATATTTAAGGTATCGAATGTATATTGTGTACGTCGCTCGTTTATTTTTTCTACAAGATTGGTAACCGTGTATACCATACACCAATCTAAATGTTTTCACGATGTTTTGATTAGAAAAAAGTACATGAAATTAAGCCGACAATAATGTAAATTTAGCTTTCCGTTTATTCAATGTATTGAGCGTGATTGATGCCGACTGTAAATCTACCAGACGCCGGGTTTCTCACGCGTGGGAACTCGGCGCAGATGAAATAAAAAGTCGGGAGTCTGGTGGACGATCATAAGCTGTGATGTCACCCAATCTAAATAGTTCACTATCTAGTGCGAGTTTTTAATTCGTGTGTGAGACTTTAGCTATATTAGTAGAAATTCGGTTACGCACAGAAAGTACAGTTTTGTAACCTAGTATAGAAGTAGCGTTTGATGATTTATGTTGTTTTCGCCTCCTGTAAGGAATTTACCGGATTCATGTTATCATCTACTCGTAGACATCGGGCGGGCGTGTTCACCCAGTCATTCGTCAATGCAACCAAAAACTTTCGTATTATTTATTTGCAATGTGCAAGTCGTTCTGATGGCCCTGTTTGAAAAATTCATTGTGCCTAAATCCATGAAAGGCACCAATCGCTTATCCAAAAATAGATTTGGGCCAGGCGTGAAGTCGTGAGATGACCTACGTTGGTAATGCCTTTGCTCAATCAATGAACATCCCTGTGAATGTATTTTTGAAAAGGATTATTCCCATATATAAAATGTTTATAAAGGTATCTACTTAGCTAGTTGCCATAGTTTGTAATAATGAAGAAATAACGGATAATAATGGCCTCGGGAGATCAAACGATTTTCGACAGTGGTAAAAGTGACGAGTGCTATGAACGGCTTTATTCGGCGAAATTATTTAGCACTGTTGATTGTTATTTCGTACTCTGTTGTTGTTGGTACCTTATCGCGTAATTATCAGCGTAGGTGGTAATGATTTTTATAGTTTACAAATTATAAATCTTTGACTGATTGAAGCATCATGCGAAAAGCAGTCCACCAATAGTCGGTTTCCCTTGGCACACAACTGATTATCCAATTCATCGTATGTATTAAGACACTTTGCCTCAACACGACGAAAGGATTTTTGCCCATCATGAGACTCAAGTATTGGGAGTATTAGTAACCACAAATTTGATAAACTTATGGTTCCATTATTCTACTTTCTCGTACAGGTATTGCAGAATTTTTAAGAGTGTCAGTAACCTAATATCGGCCGTGGGTGGAACGCCTATCGTACGCGTAATCCTTTATTCCCACGGGGCGTCAGCCAAAACGTACTGCCACATATTCAAGTCAAATTGTATTTTGCGCTGGAGGTTGAAAGCAGGCTAACGTAGCAACGGACTAGGTCTGGTGAATAGTTGGCTGATTTTATGTTTCTTATTCGGTGACTCTTTCGAGTTCTTAAGGAGAGTACGTGAATAATTCACGAGCCACGACGATAAATGGGGCATCAACCCTAAGATCACGGTGTTATGACTTCCACGTTATGGTATGGGCTGTGTTATATTAGCGGGTGAAAATAATCTTGTGACACTTTCGGTAGTCTGGCAACGGTGCAAATTAGTATTGAATACGCTGCATTATTATACGGCCATGTGACCGCCGTCTGTTACTGAAATGGTGGAATGATTTTATGGCGTGTTAATTAAATGTCTCAGAAATCAATTTAACGTGTAGCTAGCTCATCGCCATTATCGCATATTTTGATTATGTAGCTACCCATTGAAATTATATTTTGATGCACACATCTGAGACCTTTATTTTTCTTTCATTGTTAAGTTTCGAACAGTGATAGGCCATTGTGTTAATGTTTATTGTTGCAAACAATAGCGTCTATTACATCGCATCGGAGACAATGAAACGCTCTCATTACGTACCGAAGCGCTCTACGCCAAATGTGGACTTATAAATATGAATCAATTTTCCCGTAAATTCAAAATTAGCCTGCGTTAAATCGTGAATAAATTGTAGGTGGAATAGTTCTGACTTGAGCCTAACATGTAATTTCAACAGAAGTTAGACAACACTCAGATAAAGGCCATCAAAATTTGACTATCATTCGAATTGCATTCGATGGCAATTAAATATCTTGTTGCATTGGCTCTTTGAATTTGACGAAGTTCCATAAATATTCGCATTTGTTTCTCGCCGTTTATCTCAGCGGATGGGTATCGCTCAAACAGGCACTTCGCTATTTCATAGCATTATTGGTATCTATGACTTATTTAGGTATTTATAATATTTTTCAGGCTAATACGTGTACCACAATCTGTAAAATGCGTACCTAATATTTAAAGTCACATTACTCCAAGTTATGGATTCAACCACATTACCATCTATAAAGACAACATCATCACCGGCCACCGCGTCCTCGAAAAGCAACGATCCCTCGTCGAACGTTACCAGTGTTGTTCGCGGTGATTTACCAACGTCGTCGTCATCGAGAAACTCTCTTGGCGAAGACGACAACGATCAGGCGAGTTCTGGTGATGAGTGGGGAATGGAGATTGGTAATCTTATCATAGACCTCGACGCTGATTTACAGAAGGATGAAATGAAGGAAAAGGGCGGGAATAGCGAAATACGGAATGCAAACAATAACAATAGCATCAAAGGATCTAACAGCACTGCGGTAAGTGTAGCATCATCAGTTGCTCAATCGCCGAAGTTAAATTCTAGTAACGTCACGAATGTATCAACTAAGCAGGATATTGCGAACAGTGCCGGTAAGCTGGTTAAGCTGGGATCAAGAAGCAACTCACCCGCCCCCAACAGTGGTAAAAAATCGAAGTCAAAGAAATCCAAATCCGGGAATAACAACAAGCTTGGTGGTGCTCCTTCAATATCTGCTAGTGATGTTCAGATGGAGCAAGGATCAAATCAAATGACAATCAGTGGGTGTATGGGAAAAACAGAATTAAGCGGCAGTTCTTCTGGATTTTTACATATGTCTACCAGCACTGTCGCTTCTGGAAGGACAAAATATAATGAAAACACGCCGGATATAAGTAAATCTGTTAGTAAATCTTCGAAATCAGGGCGTCATTACAAGAAACATGGCAAAAATAACAATAGCAATTCGGATAAGAAGGCCGACGCCTCGAATACTAGTGTGGCGGGGGTGGGCGCAAACAAAGACGGAAGAGAAAAACCTCCGAAGGCCGGTAAGAGTAATAAACACTCGAACCAGTCTAGCGTATTGAATACAGTCTCGCTTCCAAATGTCACACATTCAATGAGCGCTTTCAGGGCGCATAACACTTCCGGGTCTCCTGCATTGACTATATCTAAAAATAATAATATTACCACATATGCTTCTCCAAATGTAATTCCAAAGTATTCAAATCATGGTCCAGTCATCTCAACAGACACTCAGATACGTACGAATGCCCCGTTGGTATACAACGAAAAAAAGGATTTACAAGTAAAAACCGCATTGTCTCGAAGTAATGAGGCACCAATTATGAGTGCATCTCCTCATTTAGGAAAACACAGAAAAACAAGTTCTATGCCATCTGCAATTAAATACCCAACTCCATTCAGCATGCCCACCGGGGTTTCTTCCCAAAACCAGGCTTCGGCATCCGATGCAAATACTTCACCCTTGACGACAACAACTGAACTGAGACCGGGTCAAATTTCCGCGCCTAGCGGTAAGAGGGAACGGAATCCACCAAATACGTCTCTGGCGTCATCGAACAGCAAAAAGATCAAGCTCGAAAAGGTCAGTTGTTCAATATTTTTATTTTAATCAATACTGCATACGCAAACATGTGCCTGTCAATTTACATTGAACATGAAGTTCTTACAATTTTCTCACTACGAAAGTGTTACTGATTGGTTGAATAATTTAATTAAAGGAGAGTTACTAGAATATATTTCAACGTCATGTATGAGACCAATTAAATTTGTCGCCCGGCGATGTATTTGATTTCATCGAGAACTTTTTCGTCTCCATTCAAATCTCACCAACCGGGTACCAATGGGTTAATGATATTGTTGTCACATCAATGTAAGAACTTTTCAGTTGAATGGGCTTGAATTGAATGTCAGAAAAATAGCGAGTTATCACTCCTCCAAATGTAATTACTGAACCATTATGTGCTATACTCGATCTGTATCTGTTTATTTACGGCTACATCACAAAAGCATTGCCCTAGGGCCAAGCGAGTCTCGGTGTTGGTAAAATCAATACGCGTCAATCGGTTATCGTCGCCACCGCCGTGACTGGAAATCATTTGAGGATCACCGATCGTAAATTAAATTGTAATAATGCGGCATACGACTACAATATTTGAATTCCACGACGCACATCCACATTAATAAGAAATAATTTTTACCATAATAAGTTTTGACTACTCAAATGCCAAAACCAACACCGTTCAGATAACTATTCTCGTGATAATACGACATGAATCATCACTCAAATTTCTAAAATCGATAAAAATTATTAATTAGTATTACAATTTTTCACGAAGCTCACACGAAAAATAAATGTGCTTAAATATATAGAGTGATTCTCAAATAAAATTTGTTACTTTAGTTTTTATTATTGAGCACTCAGAAGGATTTTTATTGGTACTATTTTATCGTGAGATCTACCGCCATATGTAGTGTACCTAAGTGAAGACTATCGTTCAATGATCCATTTATATTTGGATTGTTTCTAGAATTTGTACAAAGTAAGTGTTCATCGCCAAATTAAACATATAAAAATAAGTTATATTCATTAGGGATGCAATAGCAGCTGTAGAACTTAGCTATAGTACCAACTTGAAGTAGGTTTCACATTATGATTATAATGTGGTAGATTTCGCGCTCGCGACCAAAAACTCTTGGTAATTACCAAATTACATATTCTTATATGTCCGTCGTCTGCCCGTAGGGTTATATATATATTATCACAATACTACTTTGTGAATAAAATTTAACAGCTTAATTAAGTAATCAAAATGATTGCTTTGATAGTTAAGAAAGTTTTCAACTAAAAACTCCTTGGCTGGAGTGTTTTACCCTGCTTCCGCCTAACTAACTGTTTATTCAATTATGTTAGATCAAATGTATCTATAGTTTTTCCTCGTTTATTATTATCTGGGCTCTCTCTCTCTCTCTTACTTTCTCTCTCTCGCACAGTGCTAATATCAGAAGTTCAGCGATAGCTTAAAATTTTTCATACCAAATATTTTCTTTACGAGTTATCTTTTAGGTATCTTACATTTTTTGTCATTAAAATAAATATATTTTTACTCAATTATAGCGTTTGGCCTGTCAGAAAAAATAATAGTTTGTATTAGATAATTTGCAAGTTTGGTGCCCAACGAATCTTGTTATTCAGTTGAGTTAATCCTGAAATTACAAGAAGCAAAATATAGAACATTATCCCATTTCTCGAGAGAGTTGTGCTTCTTTCAAATTTAAATTTGTTGATGATCCGAATCGATTGTTTTGGGTATTTCACCAAGCATGATCGATGGAATGGATTTTTTCTTATCTAAGTGCGACCAATATATAAACCACGTCTCAAATCCGTGCGCCATCGGTGGCTCATGTTTATCTCAATAGCAAGGAGTTTTTCATTATACTACCTAAGGTTTCAAAGCGCAAATCCTCGTTGGCCGTACTTGGTATACATTCCATTGAGAGTAATTGAGTTTATTGCTATTATCTGTCTAATGCCCCGGATCGATGAACGATAGTCTGTTATAAAGAATCGAATCCATTAGCCCGAATAAGATTTTTTCAGATATCGACGCTAGACTTGGGCAATTGTTGATGGTTCCATGTTAACCACGTAATAATGCAAACATTTTACAAACTCCGGCGAAGTGAATCTCCATTTCCAGTAGGTGCGTGTGAACTATCTTGGGGTACGAAGTGATCTTGAGTTATTATTTCAGTTTGTTGGTTTTGGTTCAATGTTGATATCAAGTTCACGCAATATCAACTAGTCGTCTGCGAAATATCGATTAAACTAGTTTACGTGCCTCGGGTGTAGTCGGTAAAGTATAATACTATTACCGCCATGACTCTTTTGTTTATGCTTATGTCGTGTTAGTTTATACCCACTCGATTGTTATCACCTAGCTGGTTGACATACATTTTCTCTTTGGGGAATTTAATATTTTTTGGATGAAATTATGGTAAGGAAGTGTCGACTGCAGAACTAATTAAATATTAGTTGGTATTTTATCCCCTTTTACTAAAATTAAATGCATTCCCAGTTTGCGTCGCGATTCAAATAGAAGGTAATTTATTTAGTATAACCCCAATTATATGATTTCCATGAGTATTAGCACCAACTTCGATGGAATTACACATATCTACATTGGCAGGACGTTGTTTTTGGTTTCTTTGTTCTACACTTTCGATATTCGCACTCGACGAGTTTTACTGCAATAATAGTGTGAATCGTAATTTTATTGTAAGGTTCCTAATACACACCAAATGACCACTCGGCCTGGCCTTCGCTTCGCAGTAATATGAATTCCTTGCTTGTAATATGATTTTTTTTGCATTAAGTGTAACTTTTCCGACACAATTTTATATACGTCATCAACTTTCCGTGCGATTGAGTATTGTAAGTTCATCTTATTCTCCTTATCTAGATTCTGTAACTGGCAGTTTACTGCCTCGTTAATCCCAAAGTTGTCTGTTGTGTAGACACAGGTCTTATCATCTCGGTCATATCGTGTAATGCGTTAGTATTTGAAATTAAGTTTCTCAGTAGTTTGGACTGTTCCGCATCGAACAGCGTAAATAAAGCTACTCAAGATGCTTTTGAACACGGCTTGTTTGCGCAATCCATCAGCGGGTGATGTTTGGTATTGTCGGCGATATGTTCATTTTATAGAAAGATGCGTTTCAATAGTTTCAACTTGATGTTCCCGATCAGCCGATTTCTAAACAAATGCATCAGCAATTCATATTGCACGGTTCTTTATATATTTAATGTGACCAATTACATGGCTAATTTATCTTGACACTGTGGTTTTAAGTATCTAATTACGAGTTATAAAGGGTGTAGCAGTTGGTAGTGTACAACTTTCGCGTAATGCCTATGGCTTAACATGTGATAAATCCATATAAATTGGTCATTCGAATCTGGACTTGTATTTGGCTTCGCGTACTGTTGATCCTTTCAATATTTAGACCATCGTTTGTTTACGGATTATTTGATTGATTGAATTATAAATTAACCCACACAAATCAATGGCTTCAATTCACCATAACAATTACAAACATAAGTTAAAAGTAATAGCTCTCTGGGTAATTTATTTGATTTTTCAAAATTCAATACTCCGGAAAATTTCTTTTCTCTATATGTATATCCGTACGGCAGTAACTTGAGTACCGGGAAGTTTGCTTCAAGATAAATTTAATCTCTAGAGAAAAGATCGATTTTAACGTCGACAATCTGTCACTTCATTTTCCTTTGAATGTCAAAAATTGAATATTTTGTATGCACGACTATGGATGTCCATTCTTGACAAGCACATTAAGGGTATTTCATGAACAACCCAAGGTCCCAAACTTGATAGTGCTTTGTCTTAAGTCTAATAGGACCACGTTAGAGCAGAACGAGATTTTTACGATATGTGTCAGGCAAATTTCAGTGAGGATAATCTAATTAAAATCTTCTTGGCGCGTAATATTGAGCACGGGCGTAAAATTCCCATTAACTTTCGTCGGATAATTTAAAAGGTCACTGCTGTAGAATAAGGGGATTCAAAAATGCTCTACAAGTTTTAAACGCCTTACTAATCTTATTGTGTCACTGGGGTATTATGTGACAATAGAATTAAAATATTTCTACATCTTCGATTTTTGGTACACTATTAACTTGTATTTGTATGAATCAATTTCACAGGCCATCTAATAGCTATAGCTCACTTGTGGACGCGATAGATTATTAAATTATGCTGTGGCCTGTTTTGAATGTTTTGATATTTTGCAACTTTATGCATCATGGACTCATCGCATCTGTACAAATTTCAGCACAAAATTATGACAAAAACAAAATAAACCTTGAATTTCACTCGATGAACCAAACAAGGTACCATAGTAACTCTCTCATCAATACAATATAAAAATCGTTGTAGTCAATATCAATATTGTCAATTCTTTGGTTCCGCGTAAAGCAGATAATCGATGAAAGTTATCTATATGGGTCATCATGCTGCTGTTAAAGCTTTATTTTCTAATTATTTCCATTTCATTTAAATTATTTTTATATGACCAATAAAGATAACATTTTTCATAAAACGCTTAAGAAATGCTAACGTTCGTACAGAACGCCCATAGAAGCGCTAAAAGCTTGTGGTGATAATATATACGTTTCATATTTTCATGTCCATCCCATGTTCAAATAATCTTCACACTGTATACTACACACATTTTTGATCACATGTATTTTGATCGATCTGAAATGATAGCTGAGAAGTGTCATGTGACGGATCGTGACGACCTTTGTTCACGGTTCGCACCACGCTCTTTCTATTCACGTTTACATTACTATCAATACGAGACGGTTTTGACGTGTTTTGTTTTGTGGACACAAAATTGTATGATGTTGCTTTGTTAATGTGTGGATGGCAGTACTTTCGCACAACGGGATGTCGTTTGATGTTGTATGATATCGTTCGAATCCTAAGAGAACAAACTGACGCCTTCTTCGGTTGTTTGGTCAATTTTTCCCAAACTTTACAAATGGCGATTTATGATCAC